GACAAATTTCTATGAAAAAATCAGTGTAGATTGTCGTATGGTGAATTTCTTATCATTGTAAAGATGATTGGATATCATTTGAGCTTACAAAGACGAACAATCAAAATTTAATTTGATACATATGATATATTTACTTATTTTGATTTTATGAGGTACAATCTAATCAGTGGCGTACGTAATATTTTTCATAAGTGGTGTCACAATTTGAAGAAATGAACAAATAAATAACTTATTGTAGTTGTAAGCGGTGTCATTTTCTATATTTATCCCTAATATTTTTATTTTTCTTATACATAATTAGTAAAAAAATCCAGCGAAGCGATGTCCCATGACACCGCATAAGACAAGGTGTATACGCCCCTGAATCTAATGAAACATCTCAACTAAATGATAATTTTATATAATACATCATCAAACAATATTTTTCACATGTGTAATTTTAATTTACTTTATATTCGTACTCTCTTCTCCAAGTCTATCCATCTCCCATAAGTGATTTTCTTGCTACTGACATGCAAATTACATCTAAAAAGTATGAGATTAAAACATTAGTGATAAGTATTAATTAATTATGTACAAAAATAAATCATAAGTTCGTATAAATAATTGTCAAAGATAGTGTCACCGCTAGATATTTTCCACGTGTTCCAAGGATACAAAATCATTTGAAATACTTTTGGGTGGCAATGTTATTGGCTGATTCCTTTGCAATGGTGTTATTAGTAAAAGTTATTTCAACTTCTATGTGCACTGAAGTACTGTTGGGGTTAACACGATTTAATCAACCATTATTAATATATTAGCTCTTATTTGGTCCATATAAGTTCTTTCACTTTTTCACATAATTATTAAAAGAAGTTAATTGGATATGTTTTGTACGTAGCTTGTTGACAGGGACAAAATATTTTACTAATTTTACTTTGCTTGCCATTTTGANTAATTAAAAATTGAAGTATTATCAATTGTGTGACCGAGTAATCCAAGTAAGATATTAGGAGAAAAAAGAGTATAGAATACAAATTTACATTGGATGCAATATAAAATTTATAGTGAAAGAATAATAATTTTCAAATGAAAGTAGGTGCCGAACAAATACAAAACTTTGAGAGTTTGTTTCAATCAAACAAACAAAAAATTTTGCAAACAAATGATTAACTTAAGCCAAATAGTATGCCTATTACCAAGTAAAACCGTCCCATATGCAAGGATATTAACTAAAAGAGCTAAGTTTTTGTAAAACAATAATGCCAAACATCTCAGAACAAAATAAAATATTGAGAAGGATCACTTTTTCTTCATTAGCGTTTGGATAGGAACGGTATCAAGTTTTAAAACTGTAATTCTTTAAATGATCTAGTTTCATAAGAGATAATATATCTTCTGTGTAACAACATTTTAAAACTAATACACCTAGGAACAAAGTGATATTCTGAAATTTTGCATCAAAGGAATCTCATTTGAATGAAACTTTCTTTATCGTATTCATTTTTGCATTTAAATTTTAATTTGCCTAGAAAAAAACTGAAATTATTAGCACTTTAAAGAAACCCTCCTCCATTTATTAGGATATTTAAAACATCCCTTAAATCATACAATAGAAAAATTTAAGGGATGGTTCAGTTGTAACATTGAAAGTGAATACATGCATGCTTAGATGACAAGAAATTTTTCAACTGCGCCAAAATAAGAATAAGTAGCACAATTTTCACTTCCTTTCCATTCACTTCCATCAGATATATTTCTGATACTGTAAATATATATATAAAGTTTCATCAAATTTAATTTAACAAACAAGCACACATCTCTCATTCCCAGCAATGAACATTATAGGGTGAATTAATGATTTTATCGAACAAGTCATGTTGGATATCTTCATTTCAATTTGTTTGTCTGCCATAAATTTATTGGAGTAAGATTTAGTATTTGGAATGGTTATAAATGAGATTGAGAAATTTGTATGAAGAGAAAACAATTGGCGTATTCTATTCTTTCGGAACGAAAGAATAATGGAGAACAATGGAATGAAGATTCCATCAATTTAACATTGAACGTTAACATTAAATATTTTATACATTATAACATATAGTTCAATTTTACTTCTTTGGTTATCTTAGAATGTTTTACGACCACAAAAGATTCTAGTATCATATTTTCATTCTTTCACAAGAACTTGAATTTATTTTGTATTCTACTTATTGCAATAAGGAAATCATAAAATTCCCCTCTCAAGAATATTATAACATTCATATTTCCAATTCTTTTATTGATCATAGTTTCAATTTAGAGACAATAATGGGATAGTTGTACTACAAATTTATACTGCAACATCACTTTGAGAATAAACACTATTTTGCACCAACTTGAGATCATGATAGTAAACAATCGTTATATTTAGATATTGGTTAAGGGTTAATGTTCTTTGTGATTAGATATTTCATCCCACAATTTAAAAATGAACTTCACATGATTTTATGCATGCAAGTATGCAACATATATATTTTTGCCATCTAAATACTATTTGGCAACGAAATAACAATTATAAATATATCAAAAATGTAAATTTAGCATACATTTCAAGATCATCATTATAAGTATGTCATTTATCCTAATATTTGCAAAACATAAATTTCACAAAATCCACAAAAGGTAGAAACTTATAAGTAAATAATAAAGTAAAGTTAAGAAAACAGAACCTATTTTTTTTATCGAGTCTCACCCAAGAGATTTGCATATTGTCAAAGATTGTTGCCTTTCGTTTTTTTTCCTTTTGCATGCGGTCAACTCTTTAGACGATTTTCCATCTGCCTTATCAATGAATTTTTATCTTCTAAACGCGTTATGTAGACTCCTTTGTATGAGAAGAAGATCCACAAAGGCAACAGTCACCAATTAACACACCTTTTGACAGAAATATAACCCACATGGAAAGAGTTTGCCACTATATAATTTTTGTCACATACAGGAAAAAATATAAGTTAAACAATCGTGTCTTCCCTCCTTTGACACATTAATAACTGATACTACTATGAAAAGTTACACCTCTTCAAATAAATTTAGTATTTTTATTTAATATTTTTATAAGTAGAATATTTAAATTAATTAGAAAGGCAATTATATAATTTAACTTTTCAGTTAAAGTGTTCCTACTCTTAATATAATATAGATATAGATACTCGTTAAAGCACATTCTAAAGAATTTCTAATCACATTCATTAGTATCAATGAATCAGTAGGGATCCCATTTCACCCAGCCAGCTACAATGAATAGACAGATATACGCTTGAAAGAAAGCACAACTTACTAGTGAAAAGAAAGGCCGTTAGACTTGCTGCGCCTTTTCCTTTTGTTGATAACTGTTTGACCCAAAATCGGATTTTATATATTTTAAGGCATCTACCAATCGTTTCCATCCAAACTTGAAACAAGGAAATCAATGATAGTAACTAATGAATAAAATAAATAAAAGCAGGAATAATGAAAATCTTATCAGATGAGAGCCTCGTCGGGTTGAATAGGCAATATCATTAACAATCTTCAAGATAGTTGAACAAAGTTTGACAGCGAAATAAAGTAAACAAGATCACTGAAAAATGATTATAGTATGCTTTTTTTTTCTTTTTTTCTTTTTTTTTTTTACGATGCCCCTCTCTCGAAATGCAGAGGTGGTATTTATATGAGACACTGTCGTTCCGAGCTTCAAGCCAGGACGTCAGGGAGTTGGGTAGTGGAGAGCGAGATTCTCGATAATTGGAACAGCCTTAGCATAACATCCGATGGCCAAGATCTCAGGGTGCGGTTGACTGAGTCTGCTCTTTTCAGATACTCGACCCTTCGATAACCATAGCTTCCAATCGCTGAGCCCGGTAGCAGATCCCATCGTATATCTGCATTTCTGATTCTTACTTGCCACGTGGAATTTTCCTAGCACGCCACGTGAAAAAGGTAAATTTTACCGATGCAGAGTCTAGACCAGCTTTTGCGGACCTCGACTAATTCTACGGGGTACTTGCTATCTTCCACCAGCACATGAATCGGGTAACTCTGTTCACCAAGAGTTGGACAGCTGAAAAGAAATCACCTTTTTCAGAAGGCTCCTTGTCTAGGATAGTAAAAGCAGATTTAACGACACTTGCTAGCATCAGCTTTTTTAAGTAAACTTGCTCTATCACTAGTAGCAATGCATTTATCCTTTGCTTGAATCAACACAAGGGGATTATAAAGTATTCAGTGTAAAGCGAACTGATTGCACATGACTTGTACTTGTCAAAATAGTAACTTCTTTTCATTTTTCATGTGAAGATACAAGCAATTAAAACCACATTGGAGGATAAAACCAAGTACCAACAATTGGGAAGAAAGGTCATACCAGAGTATCAAATCCAGAAAGATCAAACACATTCTAAACAATGTTAGCTCTGGAACACATGCTTCTTAACCATAAAAGTCAGAATTGACCAGTTGGCTAAATATGCCACTCACCTAAGAAGAAATAAACCACTGGATTCAAAGAGTGCATCAGTAATGCATGATAAGAGGAACAAACTCGAAAGATGAGAAAATGGACCTTTTCATTCTGAAGATACAAAAGCAAAGTGTATGTGACAATCGTAATGTATCTAAGATGTTCGCGTTAGTCAATGAAGACCAACATTTCTCATCATGTCAACATCACGTACCACATATTATTCACTGCTTCTGTATTCAAGGTCAGTGAGTCCTCCAATCCAAGATGAACCAACTCTGAATGTTCTGCTCAAATATTGTAAACCAAGCAATACAGAACAACAATTTTAAGCAGTGCAGATAAATACATATCTGTTTCGAGTACCATAGTTTTTAGTTACATAGACATACAGAAATTCAGTCATTCGCCAGCTGACAAATTATTATCCATAGTTTACAAAAAAATTATTTATTCTTTTGTGCTTTTCTATCAGCATCATTTTGCTGAAACAAAAAGCCGAAGCAGTGAATCTCAAATTAGCAAATCTGCACTTAAGTTTCAAACAGAGTTGAACATTTGTTTTAAATTAAAAAAAGTGCATGAAATCAAATGTTCTCATTCCTTTCAAGCAAAGGAAAAGTGAAAGAGGAGACTGAGGAAAAATCCCAAAAGTTCAGTAGAATTTGGTGTTTAAAACAGGATACTTCTACTAAAGTAAGATTCTAAGACATAATAAAAGTAACCAAGAAGTTGCATATATGACAATGGATTAAGTAACTTCAATGGAAAGTGCCGATCATGCGAAAAGAGAAGCTCAGCTGCAAGTTCATCATTCTAAGATTTTCTGAATAACACCAGCTCCAACAGTCTTTCCTCCTTCCCTGATAGCAAACCGCATCCCTTGCTCACAGGCAACAGGCATAATAAGCTCAACCACCATGTTTACACGATCGCCAGGCATGACCATCTTAGATTCCTCTCCTTTGTCACTCATAATCGCGGTAACCTTTCCAGTCACATCAGTTGTCCTCATGTAAAACTGAGGCCTATAACCCGCGAAAAACGGAGAATGCCTGCCCCCCTCTTCCTTCTTCAACACATACACCAAAGCTTCAAACTTTGTGTGCGGAGTAATCGTTCCGGGTTTCGCCAACACCATCCCTCTCTGAATATCAATCTTCTGAATACCTCTCAACAACAACCCCACATTATCTCCTGCCATTGCTTCATCCAAAATCTTCTGAAACATCTCAACCCCTGTCACTGTAGTATTCCTAGTATCCTTC